CCATAAGAATACATGGGCCGGCTGCCATGTTCGTGACACAAACTTCTTATTTTCTTCTTCTTGATTCGTTACAGACAAACAGTTAATGAGGCTGAGATTCGACCAGCGCTATCCTCGCCTCTTGTTTCCGGTGCTTGGCTTGTCCGGAATACCCTATTCAGTTATCGTTCCCAATGGATGCTTTTAAGCTCCAAATAGTAAAGCGCATTATGATAGCCATACACACAAGAGAATTCTGTGCCGTTTTGCAAAGGTGCCCCCATCTCACTCTGCCGTGACCTGCCTTCTCCGTGTGTAGCCGTGTGCCTGGAGTTTGAGTGTGTGCTAGGAAATTGAGTTCGTGCCCGTGTGTTGTGTGCGCCCTTGTGCCGATAGCGCTGAAAGTGAGTGTGTGAGCTTTCAAAGAGAGACAGAAGCAAAGAAGAGAGAAGAAAGAAGACCGGTTCAGTACCCCTTATCTACAACCCCGGGTTTCCTGCAATTCCTCCGGGAAAACATCAACCTGCCATCCGGGCTGTACTCCCAACTAATGAAGCGCTCGTGGTCTACGGCGTGGTGAAGGACTTCTGCATCCGCCACGGCATAGGCACTCCCAGCTCAAGGATGGATGTGCATTCAGCGAAGAAAGCCATCGACAACGACAAATTCTACTTGGGTCACCGCCCCCCCCCCCTCCACCGACCTCCAGACCGTCACCGAATACTACTGTATGAACAGTATACTAAAGAGCTCTGTTGTTTGACAGGGCTCGTTCTAGTGCACCTTTATTTCCTGCTGGGGACCTGACCATCGTCATAAAAACGTGGTCGTTTTGGCGCCCCCAGCGGCCCTGCCCACACGGGCATGAGGTGCGATCACCTGGGAGCGACCCTGCTGCGGACAGAGGTCCCCGTCCCGCCGTGCCCCGCGTCCCAGAAGTCGTGCAGACCTTCATCATTTGTAAGTCTCGCAACTTTGAGCAGGTTCGGGTGCACGCCTCTTTCTGTTTCACAAATGTAATCCATTTGTCCCTTTTGCTGTGTGCGCAGCCCCGAGAAAGACGCAGCTGCCGGAGGTGCACTCGGAGGAAGAGGGAAGGGGCTCAAGAGGAAGGCCTCTTCCCAACGACGTTGCCTTCAAGTTCAACTGGGCGGGTAACGGACACTGTGTTATGTCAGGTACGACGCCCACATCCTTCTGAACGAATCTAATGAGCTGCTGTCATTTTGTTTGCAGCCCTGCTATGAAAACTCCCAGACTGGCCGCCTCCTCTGTGACTGTCGTCACAGAAGGTCGGCCACATTTGTGAGGTGGCTAACTTGCTAACAATGCCTAGATGGACAGTTGCTCGTTGACGCACTGTCAGAAAAGTTTTCTTCTGTGCTAGCTGTTATGCCGTCTTTTAATATGATCGCTCTTGGAGGTGAAATCTCCCTCTGGAGACAGCAGTGGGCGCGAAACGTTGACGACGAAAATGGTCTGCCTGAATCAGTCGTTGACACACTTGGCGAGTGAACTGAGGTAGCCTTTCCTATCATTCGAAAGTTGGTAGTATAGGTCACCCCTAGTCACCGGCCGCCATCTTGGTGCCCCCGGGTCACCCCGCCCCCTAGTCACCCCGGGCCACAGTCTCTTTGGTCTCCAGTATCCCCACCCGCCGCCATCTTAGAGGAAACCCCCGGGTCCCCAGGTTGTGGGCACAAACCCAAACCTTAGTCGTAAGGGGTGCTAACCCTGAACCTAAGTCGGAGACCCCTGTCGTCATCGAGGCCGTCACTGCGAGGTGGCCGCACCCAGGGCCCGCCGCCGCCGCATGGTCCAGGAAGCCGCCGAGGCCACTGCCGATGTTTTTACCCCGTTTTTCGCCTTTCGATGCCTGTACTGGTCGAACGCGGTGGGTTGAGCCAAATCTAAAATTCCCTGTCATACTTTACCCCTTTCCTAACAAGAATCCACTATTCGGAACTTTTAATTATGACATAGAAAAATCCGATTTATGAGCACGAAAAGGGGTCCAATCACCCACTGTGCATTGGCTTTGCTGAATTAACGTGTAACTCCTAAGACTCCTCTCGCTTCAGCACCTGCTCGAATTTACTAGGCAGGATGCCGGGCCCATACCCGTGGGCGTACAACAATGTTCGGGAGCTGAAGTCGGAGAGAACGGCTGGCTTGTGCACCTCATAGCCACCAGCACTACACCTCGGCCCACAGAGCCGCGGCCGGACCAACGCTCTGTGATGCGAGCTGCTAACGTAAGGACCACTGTGATATGCATATTAGGCCATTCCAAATTATGAATGTAAGTCTTCGATAACGGAGGTAATAGTCTGAAAAGAAAGGTTATTGCTGAGCTTAACTTGAACTTGAAATTAAACTTTAACTTTAAATGCTCAGCTCTGTCAGGAAGCGCAAGGGGAGACCGCCCGGAAGACTGCGTGAAGTGAGGCGCCTGGTGTGAGACATGGGATGTGAGGTGGACAGGCATGCCAACCAAAATCGCGAAACCATTTTAATTTTAGCGCGCCGCAGGCCAAGGTAGACGCACATTTAGCTCAGCTTCGCACGGTTTTAACGTGCGTCTACCTTGTAAGTAGTAATGATGACGTGCACAGTTTGGGCGGTCTGCGATGAGGTTTAGGGGTCGCGCACAGGGCTTGAAGATATGGCGTCCTGGTGCCGCAACACTGAGCCGCAATGTTTAGGGCGGAGCCACGATTGGTTGACGAGGGTGACGGGAGGGAGTCTGCGTACAGTGAGTACCCATAGGCACTGCAACTCTTTGGACCAGAGTGAACTGGGCCCGGTGTCACTGTCTTGTGACCACGGGCCTAAACGCCGCAATACACGGCACCCGCGCTGGAGGGACGACGGGTGGGAAATCGATAGTTCCTATGCCATGCTGTATTAGGAGGCACTTAGCTCTACCCGTGGCCGAGAGACTGCACATAACATTAAAACCAATCACTGAAAAAAGACGACAAATGACGAATTGGCGCCTGTAGTTATGTAATTTTGACTGACCGCACAACATGCCTGTCTGTTCTTTGCCTACCTGACAGGCGTATATAGAGAAATGTTAACATTTGCCATGATCGCTTCTGTTGTTATGTGCAGTCTGTGGGGCACAAGTAGCACAAAGTGACTCATATAACAGCGTGCCCTGAAGAATCCACTTTTCCCACCCGTCTTCTCTTAGTCGCGAGTGCCGTGTATTGTGACGCTTAGGCCCCTGGTGACTAGACAGTAACACCGGTCAGAGCTTTCTCTTTTCCAAATGAAGGTATTGCCTATGGGTTCTGACATCACGCAGACTCACTTCGATCTGCCCCTTCAACCACTCCTGGCGCGGCCTCAAACACAGCGTCCTGGTTTT